ATCCTAAAAGTTACCGCAAAAGCTCCCGCTATGAACCTTTTGAGGCTGAACACCCTAAAATGTACCAAAATCGCTTTTTTTTAATCCCTAAAAGTTACGACGAGCACCCCCGTTCCGCCCCCGTCTATTTTACATGGGAGTACCCCCCCGCGCCTCCACACCACGCTGAAGAAATTTGAAAACGGCGTTTTCACTCTGAAAATGCTTCAAATGTTTTCCTTCCACACTACGCCGGAGGAATTCGATAACTCAACAATAACAGATCAAACCCGGAGATTGCGTGAGCAATCTGCAGGGTAGTTGTGGTGTAGATTATGCAACCACGAACTGCAGTGCAATCCGAGCGCTAAAACTTTTACCCTGGGTATCAGATGTTTTTTCTCGCGCGCGGCGGACGGAAATACTTCGCTTCGCTTCGGCGGCCGAAGGCCGGCACAAGCAATAGAAATAAACCGCGCAAGAAAAATCTCTGGCACCCAGGGTATAAAATTTTGCCCACAGACAAACATTTCTGGGCTTTTTGTTCAAGCTGATACACTTTGACACTTGAATAGGCTGATGAGCTATCATACCGCTAAGTCACACAAGAACATGTTACATATATAGTTCATGTCATTTACGTTTATAAGGGAAAATTGTAGCATTTTGGCAACTATATCAAAGTGTCGTAAACGACCAGACGTAAATTACACATATGTAATATGAATAGTCAGGAACTGCCTTTTACATGCACAATGGTGTTGATACAGGATAAAGGATAATGCATGTCTCAGTCTAGTTGTCCATGAACGCTTATTTCCATTTTCTCTATTAAGCATGACATGACTACGGGTGCTTTCCATTACACCAAAAATTACGGTATGGGTTTTCGGGAATTTCCCTTGGCGAATGGAACAGCATCTTCCAAAATTCCTGGGAAAGAGGACAACGTTGCAAGGTATACCGAAAATTCTATACGACTGTCTTCCCAGAAAGTTCCGGAATTTTCTGTTGAATCGTTCGCTTTACGGAAATTCAACAATTTCCGGATACTCTGGAAACTTTTCCAGGAAATCTATCTACCATATGCACCAGTTTCAGAATTTTTGGCATTTTTGGTTGAATGCAAAGTAGACTACATGAAGGAGTATTTCTACCTCCCACTGGATGCGATTCTAGTCCATCAAAATGTTACAAGCCATTAATACACCTGGGTGGAGTGAAGCACTGTAGGAGTTAAGTGTCTCAGTGTCGAAGAACATTGGACAGTGACCCCAACCAGGGCTCTAACCCAGGCCGCTGGATCTGGGTGGGAAAGAGGGGGCAACCTGCACCGTTTACAATTTCCTTGTAAGTGGCCAAACGAACAATAAGGTACACAACACAAACAATGTCCCTAGTCTGTTGCAGCCTAACAATAAGAAATCAAACTAGACTTGAGGTTTTAAAGAGGTGCAAGTCAACTGGATCTGGGGTTCAGTGCTCTGGAGTGCTGAATTAATTGCTGATTCTTTATGATTACTTTTCAAAACTGAATGAAGTAGTGGGCATTTGAATTTCATATTGTTCACAACAGGAAAATTAAAATACATGTAAAGTAGAAATGCCATTCCACCCTACATCCACCGATATGTGGTAGGAGATCAGGTACTGTACATGTAGCAAGTACATCTAAGAGCAAAATTGGTTTATCGGTAATTTTAATTGTAATTCATTTTTTGCAAGAGGCCTGCTTTATGGGTTTACTTAAGGCATATTATAGCCTGCTCCTGAGTTTCCTGTTACAAATACGTGTTGTAGTTATCGCAGGAGGTTTTACATTTACCGAAGGTTCCAAACAAGATTCCTTTCGTTTTACGCAGAAGAATCTCGAGCAAAGTGCATTCTCCCAGAAACTGTTTCTCCAGATCAACCCTCTGTCAGGGTTGAATGGTGTCGGTCTAAAACCCCGAATGAAACAAATTTAATAGGCCATGTTGATGTAAGTACTTCTAAGGTTGAACGTTGATGGCTTTTTCAGCAATATGTTTCAATATTATTATTATTAATTTTTACGTGTAAATTTAGGGTGTAAGTGAGCTATATATTTCTCATTACTTGAAGCACTAGGCAGACCAGTGAAGTTATCTGAGGTCAGGGTGGCTTGAAAATGCCGTGCATCAACCAAGCAGCTGCACTCATGAGGTTATCCGTAGTGCTGGCTAACACAACATGGAAATGACTTCAGAGAGCTGGAGCTGACTGTTGTGTTCCTGTAGGTCTTGCGAGTACTTTGATATGCATTGACTACACGTAAGGAAAATGATCCCTGCATTTTGAGATCAAAAGAAAACTTGACTTTAAATGTTGTGTGGTTTGATTTAGGCATATTATAGCCTGCTTCTGGGTTAGTTCTGTTGCGAGTAGTAGTTAACGCAGGAGATCTTACCCCATGGCCTGATTGGCAATGAAAACATAGTAAAACAGCAAAAGGTAAGTACAAGTCCACTATAGATGTATCTTTGCGTATTGTACATGAAAATTCAGAATATAAGTGAGCTGTTGTCGCTGGAACAGCAAGCAGACCAGTGAAGCTATCTGGGAAGTCTAATTTACCTAAAGATTCAGCATTGAAAGAAAGCTGGGTGGGGAAGAGAATTTTAAGAGACCATGGTCTAGGAAGGGGCCTATTCTTAATCAGTTTGCTCATGTAAAACTACTGTAAATCAAATTTGAGGTAAAGTGTAACCAAACACGGTCGTGCAATTTTTAAGGTCTTATATCTCAACAACATTATAGCATTAAATTGTAAACAATCATTTTACCTCATCAATTTGGACCGTCTCTTTTTCCGGCAAGCCTGCTTGAAAACTATTTTTGTGCTACAGAAGGAAAATATAAATACGAAGAGAAGAGATAAAGGAGTAACTATCTAATGTCGATCTCCCGAAGCCCGATTATATTAAATTGTTTTGTTCCTTTTCTGCTTTAAGAAAAAACTTCGCATAAGAGGTTTCTGTATACATCAGGGTGGTTTCAAGATTAGGCGGAAAATACATCGAGTGTTAACCACAATAACATAAAGTATCGTATAGTATCGTAATATGCGTACATCGACTACACTAGTTAGGTGGTGGTTTGACTCGAACGAAAGGTGAAAAATCATCCTTCTTCTTTCAAAGACATCCGAAATTTGCCGTTGTCTGTTTAACTGCTTGTCTCACTTCTTTTATCTTCCAGCAATAAAGAACTGGGTTCAAAGATGAGTTGAGGAAAACCAGGGTGGCAGCGAAAGCCTCGACTATAAAGAGGGAAGGAGTATTACCGCGAATTGTTTTAACTGTTGTCACTACAGCATACGGTAGATTACAAACTACTAAGGTAATGTGAACCCAGAGGGCACTCAAAACTGTCTTCTTGTACTTTTCGACGTTAAGGCTTGACGCAGCCTGTCGCCCTTGGTTCAAATGATCTTCAACTCGTGACTTTTGCCGTCGAAGCATGAGATATATTTTAAAGTAGCAAATGGTGGCGATTACCACAGCAGTAACGATTACAATGAAACATCCTATTAAGAAAATACGTTGATCCAGTAAGTACAGTAAAGCATTTGCGAAGCTTATAAACCATATGAGGGCAATAACAAGTCGTATCCTTGTAAGAGTCACGAGCTCTCTATAACGCATCCTTAACGTCAAGGCTAGCAGTCGGTCGGCGCTTATTGCAGTCAACGTGAAGACGGAGACGCCACAAAGCCCTGCGGCGGTAATGTACGCCAAACGCTCACTGATAAAACAGAGTTTCCAGGATTTGTTGATGACGGACACGACATGAATAATGAAAAGTGGTTGCGAAATCACTCCCACTCCGAGATCTGTAGTCGCAAGACATCTGAACAAGAGTCTTGATGGCGGATGAAGCGTTGAGTCTCGATGGCTTAAGGCGGTGAGGATCAAAATATTTCCTAGAGTTGCTGTTATGGATAGAACGACATTTGGAGATGCAGCCACGTACGAGCTTATTGCCTGTTTAGAATCTTGAATCAGATCTACAGAAGCTGAACAAATTGACCCCTTTAGTAGGCCACTAGCTTCATGCTCAGCTCCAAATTCGATCATTTGCTCCCCAAATACTATCACCATTTAGGGAACACTACTTGCTTTAAAACTTTTTTTGTTAGGTCTGTGAATATTGATAAATTAATGAAAGCTGTCCGTACACAAACTGAAATTTTCCATCTAAATTAAACAAACACCTCAGCAGGTCATTGCACACACAAACCTTTTCCAACCATTGTGTTATCCAAACACAAGTGACAAATTAAATCAAGTGAGTAATAAAAATCCCTACTAAATAAAGACACGCATAAAAGTAATTCCAGCATTATCTCATTTGAGGAACGATAGAATTTTTAAACGGAAAAGATATGGAGAAAGTCAGTTTAGAGACGTGGAAGTGTAGTTTTAATCCGGCAATGAATATCAACAAAACACCTCTTGAAAAGGAGCTACAGACGCAAATAATTATCTGTGATGGTGGCGAAACTTTCAGGTGTATGTATTTGTCTCCTTACTTTTAAAGTCATCTAATGTACGAGACAATACTCTCCGATCTCGCATGGTGGATTGCTAACAGACATCGCAGTAGGTGCAAAAAATATGATATATATATTTCCTAATAATGTTTTTGTTACCTATGCGGTTGTTTAACGTCTAATTCATACAGCAAAGGAAACCGCCACTGGCGAATACGGCCAAAATAAAGGAGTCTGATTCCGTTTGAAATTAGCCCGCGTGGCAGGTGCAACTGAGCAAGTGAAGCCTCAAAAGTCATCACGAGGTTTGCGAACGCGCGTGGGAGAAATTAAGAGCCCTTTCCTCGTGCCCGTTGTAACCCCCCTCCCGAAACACAATCCCCATAATTATTACAAGGAAGCAAGGAGACAAAGAATAGTTGTAAGATTCTTTTACAATCCAATCTAGAAACAAACAAACAAAACCTTTAGTTTTAGACAGAGCTGTTTTCAATTGAGTTTCGAAAAGTAATTGGTTTTGCATCAACTATGCTACATGATTGGCTCAAAAAAACTCGCGCCACTTTTTCATCCAATCAGAAGTAAAACCAAAACCAATCATGACTCACTCTGACACGCGTTTTCCCGCGCTTTGCGTCAGCTGCACGTAATTTCCTCGAGTTTGGACTGGTTCACTATATTGTCTTTAGTATTAAAACCCCCATTTGGGCCAGATCCCCTTATGACCACACCCATTTTGAACTTTTACCACTTATGAACCTATTTATGGCCCTGACTGGTCTATATTATATATAAAGCTAACCTGGAAAATATAGGTTCTTGTAGCAGTTTACTGTGTTTAAAAACCAATGCTTCCTGAAATATCAGTATTCACCACAACCAGTCCATTGGCGTAAGCCGGAGTTTAGTGAGAGGTCTGCTGAATTGTAATAACAAAAAAACTCATCTGCGAGTTTGGCTTGTTTGCAGTCGCTTCTTATGCCTACACTGACAAATGTATGCCAAATGTCAGTTAGAGGTTAAGACAATCACCATGTTTTCTAGTTTGTGTTTGAAACCTTCTCTTAACTTTACTCGACTGCATTGTTCTTATACACAAATATAAAAGGATTTAGGGGAAATTTCACCTGAGGCGTAAATAGTTATTAAAGAAAAGATCATGGTAGTCAAGAACCATTTCTTCCTGAAATATCACCCAAAAATTAATTATTCACGTTTTATGCATCAATGTTTACGGTTACGAATCATTAAGTCTTGAGAGATCTATAAACTCAAAGCATGAAACAAAACAAAACAAATAAAAACAAGAAAGCTAAACAAAACAAAGCCAAAACAGCTGGAGGTCCTGACTATTCTGACGAGTTAACTGGAACAACTATCTGCATGTTGAATAGAACATTTTTGTTTCGTCATCATTTGTTGTCGTTATTCAATGATTCATTTCCCCATGAAAAGCTTCTTTGTTTTTTCTTGTTACCTTCCCTACCCTCCACTGCTTGGTCAAACATCCATTATACTGAAATGTCCACAGAGTTCATTTTTAAAACCGCTTTTCTCAACAAAACGGGAAAGTCAAGTTTTAATAGTGACTTTCCAGCTGTTTTTGAGAAGGCGGCGTTTTTCAATAGTAAGACGAAATTAAACTCTAAATGACTAATTTTGTACCACTTTAAATTAAACTTGAAAAATTCAAACTGGCAGATGTCAAGCATAATCTTTACTCAATGCACAATCTGTCGACCTTTTATCTTTTAACTGAACGACGAATCCCATTTTGCGCCGCATTCCTTCTTCTAAGAAATCGGAAAGTACCAGTTAAGGCTTGGTAGAACTCGGCATTCCGCAAGCAGTACACCCACGGGTTGATTGCCGACGAAGTCAATGCGAGCGCTTCGACTGGCTTCCATACCGTATAGAAAATCAATCTTTTACCCAGGCAATGCACAAAAGAAGTCACTAAACTCGGCAACCAACAAACGACAAACAGCCCCACCACAATGCTGATCGTCTTAGCAGTCTTGAAGTTCTTTTTCCTTCTTATCACAACGTCTTGATTCTGTGCAGTATTGACAGTTATTCGCCTGGACTGCATTGAAGCAGCCTTTAAGTTCCGAATAGAGCAGAAAATTATGAGAATCATTGGTATTAAAATCGTGATTATTGCAAAAGAGAAATATAATCTTGGTAGCACTGAAACATCCTCCACCAAGAACCTCGAGCAGGGGAGAACCAAGCACATAAACCAAACGGTGGCTATCAGCACGTAACATCTTGGGTAAGTGATAATGTCTTCGTAGCGGAGAGGATAAAAAATGGCGATGTGCCTCTCCAAGGTAACACAGCATAAGTTGAATGCAGTAGCCACTGTTGTATGGATCCAGAGATAGTCAATAGCTTTACTGTAGGTTTGCAAATATGTATCTGTTTTAAAAAGCAAGCATCTGAAAAGAATATATACCGGGTCTATAACAAGTCCTACTAAAATGTCCGCAGCCGCCAATGAAGTTAGGAACAAGTTAGAAATTGTTCTAAGCGACCTATTTCTAGAGATCAGCCACAACACAACCGCGTTTCCAACTATGGTCGCCAGACCTGCGATACCATACCACGTTGATAAAACTATCTTTGCTGCCATGCTGAACTCTTCACTATCACAACAAGTGCTGTTCATCTTTGTTATGTCGTCGATTTTCTTTCCTTCCAGGGCTGAACTAGCAGTTAATTTATTTTTCTGATCATTAATTTGGCGGTGACAGGTCAGAACGAAACAAATTCAGAATATTTCTAAAAGTCTCCAGCATGTTTGAGTTTCTGTCACCTGACACTTCAAATCGGACACGGCTTGCCAATATGGTCGTCCCGGCAAGGACGGCTGTTTTCGCAGCTCATCGCGCTGACTGTTTTTACGCGCTTTGAATATTCTCTCACAAGGGTGAAACACTTATGTTCTCAAATAGACATGCAATGACACGATTCAGCAAGTGAAATGTGAAGTCAACTGAAAGGAAAACTTGAATACATAAACAAGGAATCGAAAAAAGTTTGTATTCGATATTTGATTGGTTCAAATCCCAAACCAAAGGGTGAATTGTTCATGCTGTGGCTTGTGATTGGTTAACATTGCCTAAATGTCCTGCTTCCAGCTGTCACATTATAAAACAATTACGCCAAAAAACATGACTGAGCTTGGGCTGATATAACTTAGTTTTATTTGACGGGTGCAGATGGCTAAGGTTATAAGTTGAGCTGTTTTATTGAAAAGCTGTCTCATCAATTTTAAATTTTTCCCAACTTCGAAGAAATTACCTCAGTCATTGTTCCGTATTTGTAGCAAATGTATTTATCTCACTGACGGTTCTTAAACTCAATCAGTTGTTTATAAACATGAAAAATAAAAACTTTAAAAACGCAAAAGGCGACTTGCGTTGTTATGACTTTAGCGATACACCGGCAACTGAAGTTTGCTTTGTGGTTTACGGGCCAAAACTTAGACTACGAGCAAAAGAAAGACTGCTCACAGTCTAACTAAAACTGATTTAAGGGACGAGTCAACTGAAGCATTTGTTGCTTATCGCTATCTACTGAACTCTGCGCAAATGGCTTTTAAAGTTGTGTTGACTTAACTTTTCCGTCCTACTTATTAATTATCACGCACTCGCGTGTCAATTATTTGAATATAATTGATGTTGAAATATATAACCAGTTATATCTCTAAACTGCTTTCATTGACAAAAAGTGTGAGCCAACTTTTAATTGTGACTTTCCAGCTGTTTTTCAAGACCTACACCTTATTAATAAGTAAGAAAAAACTGTAGTCTAATGATGCCTTATACATGCAACCTTTAAAATATNCAGCCTGTCGCCCTTGGTTCAAATGATCTTCAACTCGTGACTTTTGCCGTCGAAGCATGAGATATATTTTAAAGTAGCAAATGGTGGCGATTACCACAGCAGTAACGATTACAATGAAACATCCTATTAAGAAAATACGTTGATCCAGTAAGTACAGTAAAGCATTTGCGAAGCTTATAAACCATATGAGGGCAATAACAAGTCGTATCCTTGTAAGAGTCACGAGCTCTCTATAACGCATCCTTAACGTCAAGGCTAGCAGTCGGTCGGCGCTTATTGCAGTCAACGTGAAGACGGAGACGCCACAAAGCCCTGCGGCGGTAATGTACGCCAAACGCTCACTGATAAAACAGAGTTTCCAGGATTTGTTGATGACGGACACGACATGAATAATGAAAAGTGGTTGCGAAATCACTCCCACTCCGAGATCTGTAGTCGCAAGACATCTGAACAAGAGTCTTGATGGCGGATGAAGCGTTGAGTCTCGATGGCTTAAGGCGGTGAGGATCAAAATATTTCCTAGGGTTGCTGTTATGGATAGAACGACATTTGGAGATGCAGCCACGTACGAGCTTATTGCCTGTTTAGAATCTTGAATCAGATCTACAGAAGCTGAACAAATTGACCCCTTTAGTAGGCCACTAGCTTCATGCTCAGCTCCAAATTCGATCATTTGCTCCCCAAATACTATCACCATTTAGGGAACACTACTTGCTTTAAAACTTTTTTTGTTAGGTCTGTGAATATTGATAAATTAATGAAAGCTGTCCGTACACAAACTGAAATTTTCCATCTAAATTAAACAAACACCTCAGCAGGTCATTGCACACACAAACCTTTTCCAACCATTGTGTTATCCAAACACAAGTGACAAATTAAATCAAGTGAGTAATAAAAATCCCTACTAAATAAAGACACGCATAAAAGTAATTCCAGCATTATCTCATTTGAGGAACGATAGAATTTTTAAACGGAAAAGATATGGAGAAAGTCAGTTTAGAGACGTGGAAGTGTAGTTTTAATCCGGCAATGAATATCAACAAAACACCTCTTGAAAAGGAGCTACAGACGCAAATAATTATCTGTGATGGTGGCGAAACTTTCAGGTGTATGTATTTGTCTCCTTACTTTTAAAGTCATCTAATGTACGAGACAATACTCTCCGATCTCGCATGGTGGATTGCTAACAGACATCGCAGTAGGTGCAAAAAATATGATATATATATTTCCTAATAATGTTTTTGTTACCTATGCGGTTGTTTAACGTCTAATTCATACAGCAAAGGAAACCGCCACTGGCGAATATGGCCAAAATAAAGGAGTCTGATTCCGTTTGAAATTAGCCCGCGTGGCAGGTGCAACTGAGCAAGTGAAGCCTCAAAAGTCATCACGAGGTTTGCGAGCGCGCGTGGGAGAAATTAAGAGCCCTTTCCTCGTGCCCGTTGTAACCCCACTCCCGAAACACAATCCCCATAATTATTACAAGGAAGCAAGGAGACAAAGAATAGTTGTAAGATTCTTTTACAATCCAATCTAGAAACAAACAAACAAAACCTTTAGTTTTAGACAGAGCTGTTTTCAATTGAGTTTCGAAAAGTAATTGGTTTTGCATCAACTATGCTACATGATTGGCTCAAAAAAACTCGCGCCACTTTTTCATCCAATCAGAAGTAAAACCAAAACCAATCATGACTCACTCTGACACGCGTTTTCCCGCGCTTTGCGTCAGCTGCACGTAATTTCCTCGAGTTTGGACTGGTTCACTATATTGTCTTTAGTATTAAAACCCCCATTTGGGCCAGATCCCCTTATGACCACACCCATTTTGAACTTTTACCACTTATGAACCTATTTATGGCCCTGACTGGTCTATATTATATATAAAGCTAACCTGGAAAATATAGGTTCTTGTAGCAGTTTACTGTGTTTAAAAACCAATGCTTCCTGAAATATCAGTATTCACCACAACCAGTCCATTGGCGTAAGCCGGAGTTTAGTGAGAGGTCTGCTGAATTGTAATAACAAAAAAACTCATCTGCGAGTTTGGCTTGTTTGCAGTCGCTTCTTATGCCTACACTGACAAATGTATGCCAAATGTCAGTTAGAGGTTAAGACAATCACCATGTTTTCTAGTTTGTGTTTGAAACCTTCTCTTAACTTTACTCGACTGCATTGTTCTTATACACAAATATAAAAGGATTTAGGGGAAATTTCACCTGAGGCGTAAATAGTTATTAAAGAAAAGATCATGGTAGTCAAGAACCATTTCTTCCTGAAATATCACCCAAAAATTAATTATTCACGTTTTATGCATCAATGTTTACGGTTACGAATCATTAAGTCTTGAGAGATCTATAAACTCAAAGCATGAAACAAAACAAAACAAATAAAAACAAGAAAGCTAAACAAAACAAAGCCAAAACAGCTGGAGGTCCTGACTATTCTGACGAGTTAACTGGAACAACTATCTGCATGTTGAATAGAAAATTTTTGTTTCGTCATCATTTGTTGTCGTAATTCAATGATTCATTTCCCCATGAAAAGCTTCTTTGTTTATTCTTGTTACCTTCCCTACCCTACACTGCTTGGTCAAACATCCATTATACTGAAATGTCCACAGAGTTCATTTTTAAAACCGCTTTTCTCAACAAAACGGGAAAGTCAAGTTTTAATAGTGACTTTCCAGCTGTTTTTGAGAAGGCGGCGTTTTTCAATAGTAAGACGAAATTAAACTCTAAATGACTAATTTTGTACCACTTTAAATTAAACTTGAAAAATTCAAACTGGCAGATGTCAAGCATAATCTTTACTCAATGCACAATCTGTCGACCTTTTATCTTTTAACTGAACGACGAATCCCATTTTGCGCCGCATTCCTTCTTCTAAGAAATCGGAAAGTACCAGTTAAGGCTTGGTAGAACTCGGCATTCCGCAAGCAGTACACCCACGGGTTGATTGCCGACGAAGTCAATGCGAGCGCTTCGACTGGCTTCCATACCGTATAGAAAATCAATCTTTTACCCAGGCAATGCACAAAAGAAGTCACTAAACTCGGCAACCAACAAACGACAAACAGCCCCACCACAATGCTGATCGTCTTAGCAGTCTTGAAGTTCTTTTTCCTTCTTATCACAACGTCTTGATTCTGTGCAGTATTGACAGTTATTCGCCTGGACTGCATTGAAGCAGCCTTTAAGTTCCGAATAGAGCAGAAAATTATGAGAATCATTGGTATTAAAATCGTGATTATTGCAAAAGAGAAATATAATCTTGGTAGCACTGAAACATCCTCCACCAAGAACCTCGAGCAGGGGAGAACCAAGGACATAAACCAAACGGTGGCTATCAGCACGTAACATCTTGGGTAAGTGATAATGTCTTCGTAGCGGAGAGGATAAAAAATGGCGATGTGCCTCTCCAAGGTAACACAGCATAAGTTGAATGCAGTAGCCACTGTTGTATGGATCCAGAGATAGTCAATAGCTTTACTGTAGGTTTGCAAATATGTATCTGTTTTAAAAAGCAAGCATCTGAAAAGAATATATACCGGGTCTATAACAAGTCCTACTAAAATGTCCGCAGCCGCCAATGAAGTTAGGAACAAGTTGGAAATTGTTCTAAGCGACCTATTTCTAGAGATCAGCCACAACACAACCGCGTTTCCAACTATGGTCGCCAGACCTGCGATACCATACCACGTTGATAAAACTATCTTTGCTGCCATGCTGAACTCTTCACTATCACAACAAGTGCTGTTCATCTTTGTTATGTCGTCGATTTTCTTTCCTTCCAGGGCTGAACTAGCAGTTAATTTATTTTTCTGATCATTAATTTGG